TTCCGCGTCATTCTTCCCTTTCTATGAAACGATGTCAAAGTTCTTAACAGCAGGCGAGGGCTGATTTTTCCTGTCAGGACTTTGTCGAATTTCTTACTGAGATTTGGTCTTCGTTCTGAGTGTTGAGCCAAAAGCGTAAATCAGGGCGTTTGGTGTCTGTAGAGGCGCTGCCCACTGGGGAGGACTTTCCAGCACGAGATAGAGCACATAAGCATGGCAACCTCGAGCTGAAAGGTCTTTCTCGGCGGGCAAACGCTAACACCGTTGAGTGAAACCGTGGACGGCTTCAGAAGTCGCGCAGCTGTCAGCTCTGACGGCTAAAATGAACTCACTTGTTTTCCCTCCAAGTTGTCTTCGTTAATCTGCCCCGTTGATGTTGTTAAGTGAGAAGTTTCGCTGTTGTTTAAATTGATAATTATGCTACTCTACTGCTATCTGAGTACTGCACTTTCAACGGGGCATCATAGAAACACGACCGTATTGTTATTTACAGGCTTTTAATGCAATAAAAATGGAAAGTAATGCAAAGACAAATGTTTTATATAATAAGTGCCAGGTTTTGCGTCGTCGACCTTGCGCGAAGGGTAAATTGTACCATATATGAACGATTGACCAAACAATGCCTGTTATTTTTGTGAACGTGAAGCTCAGACAGTTATAAAAACAGATGAAAATTTAGAATCAGGTGAATTTACGTCGAAATGATTTGAAGAAACGGCGCAGTATTGACAAGATGACAATATATAGAACATAGAACGCTGGCACATATGACACAAGTGGTACTTATGAATAACATACTATTTGAGCCGTTGTTTGCCGGAAGATTTACGTGTGTTTATGTGTTTATCTGCCTGGTAATTGACAGTTGAATCGGTTAATTGCACCAATTTCCGGCAAAGAGCACCAACTATATAATAATATTAGTTGTTATACAATATGTTTGAATTTAGTATGTTTCATTCTATCAGTACTAGTATTATTATCATCATCATCATTGTTATCAACATGTTTTTTTGGTTAAATCTATTGATATAGCTACGGGTTTTACTTGCAAAGGAACTCGAGTGATATGTACGTTATTCTTGGGATTTACTTTTCTTGCATACACCAGTGGCACCAATATCCCCCAGGACCTTTAAATCGTCCGTCGAATTTCTAGACACGACAGAGCAGAAGAATTACTAAAGCATGCTAGTTTTCTTCCGAAGCTTTGACTAATAAAATTATGATTGACTAATGAATTATATTGTCCATTTGAGTTTTTGTTTTAGGTCGCAGGCGGGTAAAACGTAGGGAATTAGTGCCATTGGGGAAAACATTTATTATATGTCCATAATTTGCATCCCGTTAGATGGTGAAGAAGTACCAGACTAACAGGTATGGTGTTCGTCATTGATTAGTTAGCAATAGTGATTAGTAATAATGCTTCTTACTGCTTCACAAGCCAACTTGCTTTACCAGTCTAATTATTGCGGACGCTTCTATTGCACTAGTTACACTTTGGAAACGGAACACTATCTATCTAAGATCTTCATTGACGTGGCTTACAAACACGTTGAACTAAGTTAGAACTTTTCGTATATATGGCTTTATATATATATATATATATTTATATGTACGTAACATGTGCGTCAATAAAGTAATTATAGGGGGGTGTTGTATACTCGCTATCAAAGGTAATAGTATTTGTGTTACTCTACGTACAGGCGGAACTGTCGCATATCAATATCATCCTCAGGACTTATTACATCAAGTATTATATAGGCATCACAACAACAGCAACAGTAGCATCACGGACGGTATATTACATTATCAGTGCGCGTATATTACAAAAGAAGAACTTTTGTAAAATCTTTGTTTACCCGGTTGTATAGTCGATGATTGTAGTTCAGGGCAAGTTCGGAGCGCAACGATACTTCGATCTCTCGAACGAAGGCTACCGCGGTCCGCTTACTATGATCTTGTAGAGCCTTTATAGCGATTTTCAGCTGGTGATGGTAAAGCAGAATGAATCCCGTTTGTTACCGTAAGAGTCTTACTTGTGCAGTGTCGTACACTGATTAAAACTTGTAAATGTGCTCTCATTTTTGTAAGCTAATTGCGCCGCCGTGTCCCTGCCCGACTATGGACAACTGGCCAGTTTCATCGTCAAAGTTTACGCAGTCTAAACAAGCCTTCCCATTGTTCCCAAAATCAAAACAAGCGGAATTATTTAAATGTGTGTGTCTAATAAATACCGTATTCGCACGTGTTTTCTACTACGACAGCGGACGACAAGGAGTGCATTATTAGGAATGGAAATCTCGTGTCGTCAAATTGACGGGACATACACTAGTTACTCGTTTTTGTTGTAATTTTACATGTTTTATTACTATTCTGACTGTTTACAATGACACGCCCTTCAATTAGGTCTTTGGCAAGGCGGGCAATCTGGTAGGTACCGAAATAAGGTGGCGGTAGCAGCCTGCGTGCATTCTTCAAATAATAGTAGGTAATATAGACATGCGGTGTTATTGATAGAGGAATACACAAACAAACTATCTCACTCAAGCAGAGGAATTTTCAGTAGTATGTGTCTGGGTCTATGGGCAACGTTTCCTGCCAGACTTGCAGAGGCCGATGTACATAGGGATGCGTTACGATTTCCTATGTGGCGCCGGACGCCATAGTAGATTCCGCAATCGAAACTAGATCTAAGGGGCGCACGCCTAATCAGGCGAGAACCAAGTAGACCATCTCACGTAAGGGTGTTATCATATGTAGAAAATAACGGCGGAAACTTTTATGATGAGGTAGGGGGTCTGATAGCGTCGGGCGGCTACGAAATTAAACTCGATAGACAAATGCGTACACGATCCTTGCATTCTCGCCGAACTATACGATATAGTTGTGACGTGCGTGTAGACAATATGGCGCTTGTGGTAAAACTAACAGTGCGCATAGATCAGAATTAATGATCTGTTTGCTTGAGCCCACGCCACACGGTGACAGTGGTTCTTCCGAGAGTGATATAATTCACACACACACACACACACACACACACACACACTCACATATTAATACGGCGTTTCACTGTGCACGTACAAATATTAGACGCATTTTAAATAGCCTAGCATAGGAGCGTTATATGCGTCGTCATGATCAGTTGCTACGTGACGCACTATTACGTAGTGAGGGAAGCTACGATGCAATGATATCACTGTTAGTAGTGATTCCACTATGGCATGCATTATATGTACAAGTTGATTGTTGTGTGGTCGCAATTCTCACTATGTCGTCTTTGACATTGGTAGATGCTGTTGGACTTTGCTCGTTATGCTTCTGCTCGGTCCACAATAATCGTTGATACGGGATAACATCGTACGTCGGTGATGCATTCTCATTATTATATACATATGTGTAGACAGTTGAAAATAGGTAAGTTGTTTTTAACGCTGATCCCTGACACAGCCAAACAACAAAGCTAGAGTCAATTGAGACGGTGAATAGAACAGCGTCACGAAATATCCAAACGACAATTTTTCTTTAACGAAAATAACAAAAATGCTACGACGACAGCAGCCCAACTGCTTTTTACCAACGACTTCGATCATCGTTATAATTTCGTTTTATAGAATTTATGCTGTATTAAAATAACGATTTCAGCCGTAGCCGGCGTGCGGCTGCGACACGCTTGATGTTGCTGGACGCTAGTACACGCCAT